GTGTTCCTTCAGACAGCCACTCGTATGTCGATCACCTTGCATTTAGACAGTCTTCTGCACAAGGAGACTGCACTTGAAAGCAACTTGGGCACTTCGGCTGGTGCCCAACGCTGTTGCCTGGCATCCCCAGGCCTGCCTGTGTCACACAACTGCCCCGTAAGCTGTAATGGCCACCTGGAAGCATCCTCTGGCCTTATTCAAAGGGGCCCAGAAAAGCTGGCTCTTCCCCCAGGCCTTGGGCTAAAGAGGGCCACGGACCCCTCACAGGGATGATTGGTTTGCAAGAATGACCTGCGTGCTGTTGTTCAAAATTCTGAATTTGTATTATATTGTTTTACATTTATATGCTCTCGGCATCATGATGTGTTGGGCAGAAAGAAGGTATTTAACCTTGTAGGCCCTTTTTTGGACAAGATTTACGAGTTGCTGCCTTGGGCAAAGACTTCTGTGGCGTGCCTCTGGCAGACATGAGGCAATAGGAACAATAACGAGATGAGAAGTGTAGAGAGTTGGCAGCCCACAGAACAGCCTGTTTCTTAAATCCTAAAGTCAGGAGTGAGGCTTTCCCAGCAGGGGATTAGCAGGGAATGGAGAGGATTAACACTCCAGCAAACTGGAAAGGAGGAGCCTCCAGAGCCGCCAAGGGGAGGGGGGACATGGCGGCACAGCGCAGGGGCTCTTAGACGTGGGCAAGTGCCAACCTCCAGCAGCTCCCTGCCTGCGTGAGCTGAAGTGAGCACCTGCAGAGGGCTGAGCCCCAGCAGCACCTGCCAGGAGCTCCCGGAGGAGCCAAACATCCCCCCTCCTCTCTCCCTCAAGGTCCTTTTGAGCGGGGCACCTGCCATTAGCCCCCCCCCCCCAACCAAGGCTCCAGAGGGCCTGCTTTCCCCTCCGGGAGCCTGGTGCTGACTGGGTGGGGGAAGACTTGGAGGGAAGGGAACAATTGCTGAGGGTCTCCCTCCAGGCAAGTTTCTCCCCAAAAGTTCAGAGGGGGGGGGGAAGAGGAGCCGTGGGCCCTCCCCACTCAGCCCTCAGGAAGCCGCGGAGGCCCTGCAGGCCCAGAGAGCAGCCGCCTTCCCAGGCACTCGAGGGGCCTTGCGTGTGTCTGTGTTCCCCTGAGAAGCAACTGGGCCGCTGAGAAGCAACTGGGCCGCTCTGGGCCTGCCTCCCAGCCCACCCAGGGCTGCCCTCTCCAAGGGGGTTGCCAGAAATCACTTCCCCTTCTCACTGCTCTCCATGACACTCCAGACCAGGCCTTGAAGGCGTAGAAAGGCGCAGAAAGGCTGGGGCCCCGTGGAGGAGCCCCACTTCCACCCACAGCCACTGAGATGGTCAATTCTCTTTATTCTGGCTCCTGGCCAGCCTTCCACAACCCAGAGGTCCAGCAGCAAGGCCACTACAGAAGTTCAGACAAACCGACAGGGAGAGGAAGGGCTGTCGAAGGCAGGCAGGGTGGCTCCCTCCCTCCCTCCCCACTGCGAGTTGGGGAGCCTTCCCAGGCGTCAGCCACTCCCTGGTGCTCCTGCAAGGGAGCCATCAGCCCCTCTGGCAGGACAGCCTGGACCCCCTGCTCTGTTCTCCTGCAGAGCTTCTCCAGAATGTGGTCCATGCTGGCTGGGGATGATGGGAGTGATATCCCAACCCATCTCGAGGGCAGCAGTTTATCAAAAGCTGCATAATGCACATCCAGACAAGCATCTGCCAGCCGAGTCCAGCCCGAGTCACAAAAGGCCCGGCCATTTTCTCTTCCCTTTCCCTCGCAACCCACAGCCCCACACAGCCCCCCATGTTGCTGGTGCGCTTCCCACAGAAATGCGACAGAGAACAGGGCGGGCCCAGCAGAGGGAAGGCAGGCTTCGCTTTAGGCCCCCAAAGCAGCAGGATTTCCTTGGAGACGAAGGCCGGTTCCTGGCCAGGGAGGGACGGGAGACCAACCCTCTTCTGTTGACCCCTTTGGTGAGCTGATCTCTCGGGCGACCCAGCAGACACGGTGGGCTACCTATGCGCCAAGGCAGCCAGGCCTCGTGACCAAGTGGAAGCGGGCAGAGACCCTCACTGCAGCCTAGAAGGGGTCTCCCCCTGCTCCCCTTGCCACACGGGCGGCATGTTCCCGGCCCGTGTACTGGCTGTAGGCCTCTTCAAACAGCTCCTGGCAGGGCACAGCGGCAGCGAGACGGGCACAGAGGAGGAAGGCACCGGCCATCTTGCGATGCAAGGAGTAGCTCTCCTCCGGAGGGGGGCACAGGCGGTGCTTCAGCATCACGGGGATCAGGTCCTGGACGCAGCGGGTCGTGTCCTGGGAGCTGAAGTCAAAGGGCCCCGGGGTCGAGAAGACCTTGCCCAGGACCATCACTGCATCCACGTGGGCCTCCTCAAAGACCTGGAGGAGGGCGAGCCCAGATGCGGTCAGCCATACAGCTTCTCTACCTTTCCAAAGTGTCTGTGTGGGGTGAGGCCTGGGTCCTGCCCACCCGGAGCAGGCGTGAGCTCCTTGGGCTCAGGGGGGGGGGAAGGGGGGGTGCAACTGCTACTTTTCCTGCCCCTCCCAAAAGCCCTTTTCAAGCCAGGCCTCCCATTCCTTCCTGCTTTCTGCTGCTGAACTCGCCTTGCTTTCAAATCCAGTCAGGAATCCCAGGTCCTTTGATTTCCGAAGCACTTTCTCTCTGTCGCCATCAGCAGCGGCTCTCACCACCTGGCCGCAGAGAGCAGCCTTCAGACCCTCCTTCTCCTTGTCTGAGAGCCCACCTGGCAGGCAGGGGGCCCAGGGGGCCGTCCCTTTCCGCAATCAGGTGGGCCCCCCTGCCCACCTCCAGTTCCTGAACCAAACGTGCCAATGGAGCAAGCAGGCCCACAGTGGGGCTCCTTTCCCTCCTGCTCCATGAAGGGGGAGAAGGGAACCCGGGGGGTGTCTCCAGGGAGGGGCCTGCCCTGCTTCCATCCCTGAGGCTGCCACAATTGCCAAGCCAGGGCACTTGCCTCAATGTAGTGGTCAGTGAACTGCTTGCAAAAATCCCGGCTAGCCCCAAAGTCCAGCAGGGTGATCTGCAAGGAAGGCAGTGCTGAGGGCCACAGCAATCACAGTCCTCCCCCCACAGAAGGGCTGCCTCCTCCCATGGCCCAGATTGAAATGAGGGAAGGCACACCTTGCGTCTCTCAGCGTCGTAGAAGAAGTTAGACCAGTTTGGGTCCGTCTGCATGAACCGAAATTCGAAGAGCTCCCGGAGGCAAAGACGGAGGACCTGCGAGCAGATCTGGCCGAGGAAGAAAGGCAGCTGCTGGATCACGGCAGGAAGGGCACTGGGTCCCCAAGGGGAGACTTTGCCGGTCAGATCCTGCTCTGACAAAAATCCTGCCCAGCAGCCCTCACCTCGTTGCGAGTCCCCTGGTCCAATTCCTGGCACTGGTCCAGCGGGATGCCCCCCACCAGCTCCATAGACAGCACCCTCTTGGTAGACAGCTCGTCGACCACTTCCGGCACCTCAAAGAAAGGGTCGGCTTCTAGAAGCTGCCTGGGGAAAGAGAGCCCTATTGGGACCCCTGCTGGAGAAGAGCCTCCCCGAGCCCCTCCCTGGGCAATGCTCCCCCCAGAGCCACTCAGGCCCAGGAAGCCAGCAGGGACACCATCCGGGGGAAGCCCCATGCAAGAGCTGGTCATTAACTGGGTGGCCCAAGGACTCCCACCCGGCCACGGCCTACCTGAACCTCTTGGTGCTGCTGGCTTCCCGCTCGTAGTCGCACTCCCTCTCCAGCTCCTTCTGCAGGACCTGCAGGGTGTTGTCTGCAAACAGGCCTGGCAAGGGAAGAGCGGAGGGCTGCCTGGCTCCACCTTCTGCCCTTCCCAATGCCCACCCCTCCTGGCTCCTCAGCCTCATTTTTTAGGGACAGGGCCACAGCTGAGCTTCTGGGAGCTCTTCCTCCTCCCAAGATCCCAATTCTCATGGCAGCCAGAAGCCCGAGAAATGTATCACAAACTACACCTTTTCCCCTTACCTGCCGGGAACATCGTGCTCATCCTGAGTACCGACAGAAGGTTGTCCACGTCGCTCTGGATGCTCTGGGCAATGCCGGGATACTGCAAGGACGAGGGTTGGAGGCAGAGCAGATGTTAGAGCTGGGGCAGGACAGGGCATCCCACGGTGGTTCCCACCTCTTCCCCTGCTGTGCCTCTTTCCACTCTCCTTACCTGGATCTTCATTGCCACCTCCATCCCATCCCTCAGCACTCCAAGGTGCACCTGCCCCACAGAGGCAGCAGCAAAAGGCATTTCGTCAAAGGAGGCCATCCGCTCACGCCAGTCAGTGCCCAGTTCTTCGGATAGCACCCCCTGGAAGGAGAGAATCCCACACAGCAGGTTTGGGGGGGGGGGTGATTGGGGGCACTGAAGGTCAGCCAGCCAGCAAACAGCTACATCGATGGTTGCCCAGGAAGACCTGTCCTCTGCAGAGTCTCAAGGCCATCAGATTGTAGCTGCCGCTGTCCTCCATCCTGTCCCACCAATTGGAACTTTCCAAGGGCTTAAAACTGAACTCCCCCCCCCCCCCGACACCACATCAGGAACACACAGTCATCTGCGAGACAGGCATGAAATCTGCACTCTGGCGGACACGCTCGAAGACCTGCTGCAGCTGGGGGCTGAGCAAGTAGCTGTCTGTGGAGAGAACGGAGGGTTACTGGTGGGTTGGTCCCAATAAAATCCGCCTGCCACAAAGTTTGCAATGGACGGCAAGAGACAGTTTGCTAAATATGGAGTGGCAGGAAAGCAGTAAGCATACCTTCAGTGCTTGGCCACTGAAAGCAGGCTGCACCCCCCCCCCCAAATATGAGAGACATGTGTCAGGGAACTGCCAGCTGGGCACAGCTCTTCTGCGCACGGGAGGCTGTTCCAGCTGAGATGCAGCTGCTCCAGGGAGCTTCTGGCAGAGCAAGCAGAGAAGCTCCATCCCTACCTTGAATGCTTAACATCTGCCCGATCTTCAGAGCTGCCCCTCGCATCTTGCAGAGAGTGTCGACCATCCGCTGTGCATTGGCTTCGGAAAGGCTGCTCCCTGCAGGGAGATTGGGGGCGAGGAATGTGGAGCCAAACTCCCCAGGGCGGGCTCGTCTGCCCCGCCTGCACAGCAACACTTGGGCAGGAAGCGGGGGGGGGGGGTTGTCCAAGGAAGAAGAGAGGGGCACTTGGTTGCTCCCCTCCCTTTCCAGGCCCTGGTCCGACATATTTGGCTTTCGGATACTGCACGCCAGCTTTCACCCCCCCTGCCCCCCCAAGGCCCAGGCCCAGAGCTTCCCTTACCCGTGGCGCTTTGGTCCCCACTGAGGGAGTTCCTCACCGCGTCGACCAAGGCCCCGAAGCCCAAGCCCACGGCCAGACCTGGGAGGAAAGGAGCGGGCAGGGCAGGGCAGGGCGCTCAGGTTCTCAGGGGAGCAGCCCAGCCGAGACTGCCCCGCAGGGAGCCTCGCTGCAGACGGTGGAGGGAGGGAGCCCCAAAGCAGAGCACAAGGGGAGCTGGGAGGTTCGGCTCCGCTTCCCTTTCCGGGCCCCTCGAGCCGCCCCCCGCGGCTGGGTCTCCGGGCCTCCTCAGGGGCCGCCCCGCCAGTAGCAGCGGCTCCCCCCGCAAGCCTCCCCCAGAGGCAGGTCGACGGGAGGGGCGCCGTCGACCTCCTCGGGCAGGCCAGGTGGAGCAGGCGGCCCGCCGCACCCTGGAAGGCCCCACGGCAGTCCCGGCACCCCCGGGGGGAGGAAGCAGCAGCCCCGGCGGAATTCCGCCGCTCGGCTGGGCTCCTTCCTCCGGCTAAGGCCCGCCCGGCCCCCCCCGCCGCCCTTCCCCCCCCCCGCTCACCTCCGAAAGCGGCCAGCCGCCCGACGCGCGTGACCGGCACCTTCCGCTCCCGGGCCCGCTCGCTCAGCTGCGGAGAAAGCAAGTCAGGAACCGGCTCNCCCGCCGCGCGCGCCCGCCGCCACATCTCCGCCGGCCCCCGCTTCCGGTCGGAAGTCGCCGGCTCCCCTCAGACCCGCCCTTCCCGCCGGGCGCCCAATGGCAGGTTCCGGCGTGCTCTCGCGCTCCGCCCCTCGGCTCTCCGCGCGGTCCTAGCGCTCCCCGTCAACCACCCTGGCTGAGTCGTGGGCGGCCCCGGCCGGGACCGAGGGGGCTGCGCGGATCGCGGCTGCGGGCCCAGGAGAAGGTCGAGCCGCGCTCGCTGAGTCGGGCAGCCGGGTGGGCAGCGGCCCAGGCGTGAGCAGGAGCCGCTTCTGGGCTGGAGCCCTGGAAGGATGGGTGCGTCGGTGCCGGAGCCCCCCACGCGCGGTTCTCTTCGGGTGGGCGCGCGGCGGGGCCAGAGGCAGCTTGGCCGAGCCAATGGGGGAGGCGGGCTCGCGCTTATTCCACGGAATAGGGAGGAGATTTGGCAGCTGTGAAGCCCTTTTGAACTTGGGGAAGCCGCAGAGGAGGCTTTGCTACCCGGGCTGGGGAGCTGCTGATGCTTCCCTCTCTGAGCGTCGAGCTCTAGAAATCCCGTTGCCCGCTGAGACCGAGCCCAGCTGTCGCTCGGAGCCGGCAGCAGGCAGAGCGAGCGACCCCTTGGGAAAAGGGGGCTAACATCGGCAGCCTTAGCCAAGAACACAAATAGTATCAGTTGGGAAAGCGCTCCCAGACTCTGACTGTCACCCTCGACGCAGCTCTCCTCGTGTAAATGCGTGGTGAGGGGAACGTGAGCCGCACAACGAAGCACTGCGCTTCCCTGGCCACCAGCTGCCTCAGAGCCTCCGGCTGACTTTGGTTGCACTAGCTTTGGAGGGCTGGCGGTGGGCAGGTTTTTTTGTGCAAGCAGGATAATGGGTTGTGGTGTTTAGCATATTACTCTGGATTTCCCATATGTTGTAAGTTAACCACACAGACCCAAAAAACCCTGCCTAGACATCATAAATAAATTTTTAAGTCTGTTCACATAGCATGCTGACATAATGGCTGGCTGGGTTCTCACATACACAAAATCACACCAACCCATTTAACCTCATCTCAGTGCTGGTGGGACTATAGCCTTTATTTCTCAGGCCTATCAGAAATTCTTAAAACATTTGTTAAAATCTTAAGTTAAAAAAAGAATTGCCAGGTCAATGGATGCCTATTGCAGTTATTTGAGAGTCCATTGTTTTTAATATGTGTTTTTAGAATGTTCTTATACTGTAATTCTTGGGGTATTTTGTGTGCATTTAATAAAAAACACAGGCTCGCCCTTACTTTCTCCTTAAGAAACATTTGGCCAACGGATCAGGCCCACCAACCTGAATGTGCCAGTCTTCCAGTGCCATAACTTACCCTGCAGTAAGATGGGTGGCCAATAAATTTGACAAATAAAAGAAATAACTGGGACTTTGTTTGCTCTTTGGGACTAGTGAATCATGGACAGGGGTACAAGTCCCAGAGCATCATTGACTAATGTTATCACATACTTTCCGGAGGAGCCACAAAACCGGTCATTCAGAAAATACTTGCATGTTTCCTGCAAGGGAACAAGTCAGGGCAGCATGACTCGCTCCCAGATCTGTGTTTTGTCTGAGTCATGCGAGGAAGAGCTGTGCTGGGGATGGGTGATGCAACATTTGCTGACAAATCTGGTAGGGCTGGGGGGGGGGAGACGTAGGGCAAAACATCCCTGACCGCAGACTAGACATCCAAGCAGCATGAGTGACATAACGTGGGCAGGAGGTGCTGTGAGTCACCCTGGATGACTGCACCAGCTGTGAAGGGGCACGGCCAAAGTTCCCAAAGAAGAGATGGGCAAGGTCCAGAGAGCGCCTGGCCTCGGTGACACATGGCGGGGGCAGGCCCAAACTCAGAGCTTTGGGGTGCAAGTCACACCCACCAGAAGGCAATTTGCTCCAGCCTCTTGAAGCCCCCCCCCCGGCCCCTTTCAAAGGCTCTGGCAATTTATGGGTCAGGGAGTCCAGTGCGTGAGCCCATCACACAGGATGAAATGGACGTTTTCTCCCGGCGGTCCCGGGTGTCTGGGGCTTCCAGGCCGGTTCATGCTGGACCAAGGCCCGGGCGAGCGGGGAAGGCTGCTTCTGCCGGCCAAGGCAGGAGGCTGGACGGGCTCCGCAGCTGATTCCGGGCATCTGGCGGCTCCCCGCCCTCCCGGCCCTTCCCGAAGCGCAGCTCCGCCCCGCCCCGCCCCGCCCCGCCCTGCCCGAGTGTCGCTCTCCTCGCCTGGCTCCGCTTCGCCGCCCGCCAGGAGAGGGACGGGGATCGCCTCGGAGGCCAGCCCTCCCCACGCGGCCACCGGACGCGCCTCCTCCGGCAGGCCGACGCCCAGGCGCCCCAGCGGCTGCCCCTCGCCGGCAGCCGGAGCGGGAGGGCGATGCGTTTGGAGGCCGCCGGCGCGGGAGAAGCGCCCTCCGGCGGGGACGATCGCGGGGACGCGCAGGTGAGGCGGGGGGCGGGCGGGCAGCGGGGCGGCGGGGCCGGGGCTGCTCCGCTGCGGCGCGGGTCTTGGGCCGGCATGGCCCGCTTGCGTTGCCGGGACCGCTGAGGGGGCGAGCGGAGGGGGGCTGCCCCCCGGGAAAAAGGCGGCGCGGTGGGGGCGACCCTGCGAGGTTCCCGGGAAGGAGTGGCGCCCGCAGCCCCAGCCCTCCCTGCCGGAGCGCCTCAGCACCTCTGCGCGGCCTGCCCGAGCTGCCCGACCATTTGCCGGAGCCCGGGAGGCGGTGGGTGGAGGGCCGGCCGACGGGTCCCCTTCCGGGCATTGAGGGCTCAGCGGCTTTGGGTCGGCTTTAGGACGGCTCTGCACGGAATGCAGGCAGCGGCGGCGCCCCGTTTTCCCCGCAAGCAACCTCGGAAGCCTCTGGTTGAGCCCGGGCTGCCTCGAGGAGAGCCGTTCTCCCGTGGGTGTCTTGAGTGGTGGGTAATGATTGAGCCGAGCTGTGATTTGTGGTTTATTATTGATTTCTTCCACTTATATGGTTGCCCAGATCACATACATGACTCTGGGCACAGTACAAATTTAAAATAAAATATAGTTACTAAAATACCTTTAAGAGCAAAAAGCCCACAGCAGCTGAAGACCCATAAAAGGCCTTCCAGGTGGCCAGGGCCTGGGCTTCTTTGCACACTTTGGCCCCAGCCTGGGCAAGAACCGGGTCTCCAAGGCCTTTCAGAGGCTGGCAAGGGAATCTTGGTGGCCAATACTCTGGTACCCGCAACAGGCTTCTCCTGCTGGATCAAATGGGAGAAACATTTACTGGGGAGTAAAGAGGCTGACCGTAAGCCACGCAGGGACTTTAAAAGAGACCGAGCCAATGCCGCTTGCAGATCGGTGGTGTCACATGTGCCCAATGTTGTGGCCACCGAAACAGCAACAAAGACACCAATGATTCTGCTAGTGAGGGCAACCTGTTGGGCTCCGTTTTACAGCGAGAGAGCCTCACTGGATTCTGGATCCCTTGGGCCTCTGCACAGAGTTTCTTTGGTAGCTGCAGCAGCATGGAACTAAGTTGCCTCCGCTCTCCCTGGGACGCTTCCTGCCCAGCGCCAACCTGAGGGTGTCCTGGTGGTCTGATCCTGCTTCCTTTTCAAGGTCAGGCAGAGCAAGTGGAGCCACCAACCGGAGAGTCCTTCCTGCTGACACAGGAGAAGGAAATTTCCCCAATGGAGGTGCTATCTTGATGGACCTGCTCTCCCATCTGGAGGGGTCAAAGATCGAACCAGATCCAAGTGCTGCACAGGCAGGAAGAATGAAATCTCACATCTGCCAGTCACAAGCCACAAGTCAAGGGTAGCCTTTCCCTTCTTTCACAGCCCCTCTTGTGCCCCCCCCCCGCATACTCCTACCCCAGGGAGCACCAGCTGGCGCCATTGACTCAGTGCCAGATGTGCAAAGTATTTCCAGCTTTACAAGAGCTGAGGAACTTAATCAACAATGGTTGCTTGTTCTGAATCCTGTATCTTCTGCGATTTCTCATCAATTCAGCCACATTTTCTGGCTTTTTTAAAACCTGGTTTCCATGAGCGACCAGTTGGTTTCGGCAGGAGAGGGAAATGTATTTGCCTCCTGCCTCTTCTTTGGGGTGATTACAGGGGTCCTGTCTCCTCCTGGCCCCTCCGATCCTCCCAGGAAAGGCCCAGGGCGTTCTTGATGGGATCAAATGCTTGCGGATCAGATGCTGCTTCAATCCTCGTCTCCAAGGGGACTTTCAAAATTCCCAGACAGGTGGACAGGGCTTTGGCTCTCCTGTCCCAAGTGTGGGGCTGTCACGTGGTGGTGTTTTCTCAGAGAATGGCAAGCATGGGGAAGGGTGTGCATGCAGGCCCAGGACACTTTGTCTATCTTGAGAGGAGAAGATA